TGTCTGACTTATTTTACTCAGTGTAATACCCTCTAGGTTCATTCCTGTTGTGACAAATGGCAAGATTTCATGATCTTTTATGGAATTTTTATGGTTTGTTCGCTCTAGAGGTCCTTGTGCCTTCATTTTTGTCCCCATTTCTGTGGGACGTGGGCAGGCAGGCCCTCCCAACACGCAGAGTTACTTCTTTGCCCTTTAGCTAGTAATGTGCCCAATACTAGGCCAAATACCATTCAAGGAGCTACCTCAAAATTTAATTTTTTCAAGGGTCCTCGTGGGTTTCTGGACTTGGTCAAGTCCATCTGGTGGCAGGGGAAGGCCCGTGTTCTCCTGTAGCTGGGTGCAGGGGTGAGCTGATCAGGGACGAGGAACGCGGTGGCTGTACTCGTTCACTGGATGAGTTTAGGGCGGCATTTCCAAGCCATCCCCACTCTTCTTGTTCTCCAGTCTTGGAAATGCTTAGTTGCCTTAAATTTTTCGTCATCAATCAGTCATGAATAACTAACATTTCCTATTTGGGGGGAATTTAGAAAAAAAGCACCGTGTTATTTTTAAACATTAAATACATACAGACAATGATTAAATGTGTACACACTGAGTAGGTTTTAGTTTAAATATTATCTTATGTCTTTTCAACTTCCTTGTTTCTTCTTTAGAAAATTCCTTTTGGTCTGCCTGTTTATGTTAACTTCATTTCCATCTTTTGGATATTCTTTTTATCTATATCCCCGATGTGAGCCCTGGGTCACAGAATGTACAAGTTTCATAGCGGAGCCTGCAGAGAGTGATTTTGAACATCCTGATTTTCATTTTCTCCCCTTAAAACAAATTGCCAAGTTATGTTTGTAACACGTTTGCCCATCACCCCCATGCGTGCGCTTCTCACTGACGTGTAGAGCAGCTGAGCCATCGGCCACGGGTGGTGGCCTTGCCTCTGGGGACAGGTCTCCCTCGCTGTCCCTTGGGGAGCATCCTCGGGTAGGCGTGTTGAGTTAGCCACAGTCCACTAGGCTGGCTTGTGACAAAGCCAGCGGCCTCAACAAAATAAACGTACATTGTATAAAGAGGCCTGGATAATCCCCCCAACAAACACCCTCCTTTTAAAAAAGTAATCCCGTCACCAGGCTTCCTGTCCTTAATGTCTCCAGGATCACATGTAGGTCACAGACCCCCACGAGCAAACCCGCTGAAAGGATAAATGAGGTTGCTGCACGGGTCTCCACCTGATTTAAATATATTTTGGCTATGTGACCAAAGAAGTATAGGAACCATAAACCAATGGGCTCATTTTTGATTCATTTTTCGGTATAAAAGGAGAGATGTTCAGATTGGGGGGCGCGGTGTGAGGCCTGAGCCCCACTCCTGGCTCTGATGCTGCTGGGCCCGCTGATCTGGGGTAATTTCTCTTGATTTCCTGACTCTTCGTCACCACTTCTGGTAAGTAAGGGGCCCAGAGGGATGTTGTCAAAACTCCTCTCTCTCTTCAATTTACCGAGTATGTTTCTTTTTGTTCGCTCCGTTTCAGTAGTTTAGATCTCTCGCCTGGGCTAAATAAGTCAAATGCAGAGAGGGAATTGGGCTCAGTAAGGAGCATTCATCCACCGAGTGCATCGTCTCTGTGTTGGGACCCTTGGGTGCTTTTTTTAGGTCTTCTGCCGCTTCAGCAGGAGCAGTCCTGGCTGCTCTCACTCTCTTAGCAGGGCTGAAGGGATTCTCTGTGGCACGCTTTTCCGTTCTGAAGTGAGTTTAAATACCTAAATGCTTCTGAGTTTCATTCTGCATGGAATGAGTGTGCTGGTCATAGGGTCTCAGGAATAAGTTTAGACGTGACTGTACAATGTAAATGTTTGTTTGTTTAAACATTGTTACTAACTACAATAATACCACTTTCTGTTGAGGAGGTGTATCAATTTTTCAGACCTCAATTAATCACCAACTGGGTGAAGTATTCGTGCAAGAACTCCACCAGGTGTGTTGGGCCAACCTTGATTTTAGTTGCCAGTGTGGTGAAGGATTCCAAGTCACCTCCTAGTACCAGTATAACTGAGTCCTACTTGTTGGCGGTGCCACGGATACCTGCCCTTAAATAGACTTCAGCTTCTTCCCTAATTCCTTCTGCTTCCTGGGATTGCTTTGCACAGAAACCACCTGGATCCAGGTGTACGACTCGGCTCTGCCTCTGGGGTCGCCCCGGCTACGAGCAGGTCATCTGAGTGACAGGTACCCTTCAACATCCGAAATGACATAGGGCAGGAGGCACGAAGTGTGCTGTCTCCAGAAGCCAGGACAAAGGCTGTTTGAAGAGCTCATAACCCTAACTGTAAATAAAAACATAAGCGACCTTGGCTCATTTTCAACAAGTATCTAGCTTTAAAAGAGAGATCTATAGTCTGGTTTCGCTTCAGATCGCATAAATCTTTCGCCTTTTTTTTTTTTGGAAGAGAGAGCTTCTCTGCATCCTGAATTCTAAATTTGTTTGGGCTTTTACATTTTTAACCCTTCATGGGACTTGAACGCACATAATGGTGAGAGCACTTGTTCTTCTGAAAGCCCAGGGCTGGTCGGAAAAGCAGCCGACGCCTCCCGGCCCCTCAGCTATACAGAGGAGAAGCCGCTGAGAGAGAAGCGCTTCAGTAGGAATTCTGTGCGCTGCTCTCTGACTCGTGGTCTCCCATCTTAGGAACTCCTTCTGTCATTAGCACTTTTATTTTTCTCATAAGTTTCCCATATAAAAGTTAACGCTGTCATGTATCTGAAATTCATCTAATGAATTTGAGAGAAGGTGAGAGCTGTGAATTCCAGGATATTCTTACCACGTGAAGCCGTGCCCTGGTTTATCGAAAGCTTGACTGGGTCCCTTAGTGTTCAGAGAAGCGGAGACCTAGAAGGGACTCCCTGTAAAGGCCATTGGCGTCACATCCTTTATGATGGGCTCTCGGGGGAGGAGGCTTTGGCTTGCGATGGACCCAGGTTTCTGGCTTCGGTCTTCTGCTTTGATGATGACAGGTCCCAAGGCTCTGCCTGGGCGTGAAAACCTCCCACAGCGTGTCGGCTCGGGTGGACACACTGGTGTTCAAGGTCAAAAAGGAAGAACAGAGCTAGGACTAGTGTGTACACCACTAGGGGAAAATGGGGAAAACATTTGTTTCTGCAAGGCACCTGCAAAAATAACAAAAAGTTAACAACGAGTTTCCATCTTATTGCATATTGACTATAGAACTTGAGAAAGAGCTTAGGCATGTTATTAGTGTTCTCAGTTTAGAATAAAATCTTCAGAGCCACAGATGTTTCTTTCAAAAGCATTATTATTGTGAATTAAAATTCAGTGTCAAGTTCTAACACTTTATATAGACTGTGTAGTGTCTGAAAGTACTTGTTTTTCTGGGAATTATTTGGGCAGTACCAGGAGAACATTTCTCGTGCCCCAGTTCTGTCCTCACTAGTCTCCTGGGTGCCTTTCAGACTGTTACCATGGCGGGCAGCCCCGGGATCTCGGAGACAGACAGCAGTTTGTCAGCTTGAGTTCCTTACTGCTGCTCTGGCAGAGAGGGGAAGCCTGAGGGGACATAACATCGGACCAGGAAGTGCTGATGGAAGCAGAAGAAAAAAGGACCAACAGAGAGAAGTTCCGCCTCCCAGTGAGGACAAAGCAGAGGCCAAAAGTTTTTTTAAAATGAGAAGCCTCCACAAAGAAAATAGCAGAAGCTGTTACTAATGATAATATTGCCTATCTCATAATTTTTTCTAGAATTTGCTCTAGTGGCTAATGGTATAAATGCTTTGGGTTTTTCCTTTTTAATAACAACACACTTGTAACATTTACAGAGTGTTTTACAGGTCAGCAAGTGCAGCCATGGCCATGACCTCACATAAGTGACTGTCATCCAGGACAGGTTCTAGCAGCTCCATTTAATTAATTAACTTTATTTTAAAAATTTATTTTTAGAGTGGGGGGGAGAGAAACATCAATGTGTGGTTGACTCTTGCGCACCCCCTCCTGGGGACCCAGCCCACAACCCAGGCAGGTGGCCCCGACTGGGAATTGAGCTGGGGACCCTTTGGTTCACAGGTGGGCACTCAGTCCACTGAGCCACAACAGCCAGGGCTAGCAGCTCCATTTTAGAGACAATAACGTTGAGGCAGAGAGCAATTAAGTGACGTGTCTAAGTTTATATGACCAGTGAGTAGGGAAGCTGAGATGGGGACTTGCACCTTTCGGTTCTGGACCCAGGGCTTTTCCCCATTCCTGGATTGAGCCGGGGAAAGGATGGATGCTTCAGAGTCTGATGACCCAGGCTGGAACTTGCCACTTTTCTTGCTGGCTCTGTGCCCTTGGGCGTGGTACTTACCACTCTGAGGCTCAGTCTCCCCATTTACGGTGTGAGGACTCCTCCAGGTGAAACAAGCAAAGCCGTCGGTGTACCAGGACAGAGCAGGTACTCAATACACAGAATAAACACCTGGAGAAGATAGCCACTGTTCTTATTTCACAGAAGTTTCCTATAGTTAAAGGTGAAATGACGCGTTGGGACAACTTTTTAGTTTACTCAATGACGCCGTGTTTCCTCGATTTACTTTAATTCTGGAACCAGCTCCTATAAACGCGCGTGTGCGTACACGTATGTCTTGGGGCACACATGTACAAATGTGTCCACAGGCACCTGTGCACATGTGTCGGGGGTGCAGCAGCAGCTGGCTCACTGCATTTCTAGGCTGTGGGGAGCCAGACCTAGCGATCAAACTTGGGGCGCGTCTCCTTGGAGAGAACTGGAAAGCAGACCATGGCCATGAACCTCACCTGGCCAGGCGGGTCCTCGCTCTGTGACGTGGCTCCAGAAACACGGGTGCTGTGCTCTCAGCGGACCTCAGTAGTCCCGGGAGGTTCTGAGCAATGCTCTTCAGTACACACAGCTATGGACTCAGAGAATTGCACCTATTTTGGAGTAGACTTTATTTACAAGGAGTCTTCCTTTCTTAAAATCTTTTAGAATAGGCTTGGTTAAAATCATTACATAAAATAATCTTGACTTTTTGTTACATGTGGCACAGAATAATTTAACGCTTAATAAATATGCTTCACGGATGCACAGATGGGAGAAGCACCCTTTGCCAAAGGCGCTATAGCAACTTCATTCCATGTTGGCTCCAGTATCACTGTACAAAGTGACCAGGAGATGGCGCTGTAGACCAGAGATTAAGTATGCTTGAACCAGCTTTTCCTCATTATGGCATTTTTCTTTCTTTAAATATAGAGGAATCTCCTATTTAACTTAGTAGAGTCAGGTTGGTTACTCCATCTTAACAGTATTGACTAGGACTGAGCTCTCTAATTACAGATCCATAAATCATTCAAGGGTGGTGCTTCAGTGGGGTGAGGGATGGATCTAAAAGTCAGGCCCGAAGATGACCATTTTATTTAAAACCGATCAACTATACATAAGGAACATTGTGTTCACAACCCCCATAGAATTGTGCTACAGTCTTCCGAGAAACTTAGGTCAACTTCCAGTTTATTTAAAGAACTGACACTTGTTACATTTGAACCCGCAGTGGAAGGTCATAGAAACATTAGGACGTGAATTCACATTGACATCGACAGGATACAAACATGCGTACACCCTGGTGTTCTCATTAATGACTCTTCTCCTCCATATAAATATATAAATATCAAATAAAGTGCATGGGGACATGTCTGCACATGTACACAGAGACGTGTTTGTCTACATTATACACTCGGATAATTACTTATGGAGAGAAAAACATACACATTTGTAATATATGTGTCATTAAAGGACACCTGTCAGGCAGTATTGATGTTCATTGTGATCAAGATGGAGTACGTGGGTGGATCTGGAATTTTTTCTTTATTATATAATGAGATGTGCAGAGTTATAAACTAAGGCCAAAATACATAAGAGCAGAGACTTTTTAACACTTGTGTTTTTATCAGTTAGTCTGGTGTCATCATTAAAGTAATTCAGACCAAATGCAGCCTTGATATGAGTGGCTTGCCCTAAATCCCAGCTTTGAAATAAACACACGTCAGTGTATCTGTAAGAACACAATTAGTACAACCCTAATGCATTTCCAAATTACACAGTGGCACCTCCCATGTTTCTTAGTTTTTAGTTTTTTAATTTTTTCAAATGGCGTAGAGTAAAAAACTATTTCTCATTCAACAGAAAACATGATATCACTGTTTGTTTGTTTGTTTGTTTTTTAATTAGGGAGTCCAGTGTCAGTGGGGAATAAATCAGGAAGTAGAGCAAAAAGTTTTCTCAAAACTTTGGTAGTCACAGGTTGGGTCCAGGTTGAAGTGCATATCTCTAAACTAATTGCAAATTTTGACTTCAAGTGATATTTTCCCTCTCCTGTGTGGGGTCGATATTCATTGGCAATTAATCAGGAAACTCATTGAGAAAACCACTCTCGGCTGTAGAAGCAAACCACTTTCTGAACCAGGTCAGAAAGAAATAACTTGAATTGATTCTCAAACTATGTCTGTTAATATTTTTGCCAAGGACTGTTCCAATTAGGTCATTTTCTTTAAAGGCAAAGATCTTACTTTAAGTATTTTTTTTTATATCCTGAGCACCTAGGACATGACTTCATAGATAGTGTACACTCCGTAGAGAATGGTGAGCCCAAAGCTAACAGTAAATGATCCAGACTGATTATTCCGAAAGCATTGGTTTACCTGATTGGCGGGTGCCCACAGGAAGGTCATCTGCACTGTAGAGATGTTCTAAGACGCTATTGCTGTCAGTAGCCAAAACCCTGAGTTTACTCCTCAGTCCCCCTGACAGGGTGACCTTGATGCTCAGAGAGTGCGTGCATGGTGGCGTCGTAGAGAGCAAGGTACCCAGTGCCTCTGTGGCGCTGCGTAGGAGAAGCAGTTTCTGGAAATGTATTTGGTGATGTGAGAAATTATCCCTTTGATAGGGCAGCTATAGGGCAAACAGTAAACAAGACTGCCTTTGAACTTCAGAGTGAAGCACAGGTAGCAGGAGAGAAAGCAGCAATAGTGATGAAACAGCAGTGAAAAGCTTTTTCACTTCTGGGAAGCGTGGACCTGAAATGCAGCAGATGCCAGCAGCTTTGTGAACGTTTCAAAGTGGCATCTAGAAAAAGGCTGGAATGGAAAAGTTGTCAAGTATCGAACTTAATTATCTTAGCAAGACCGACTTTATAACACTGTTCTTAGTGACTTATTTTTTGTTGTTGTTCTAAATACATACCATGGTAAATGTGTAAAGAGCATTTTTCTTTAAGAGGCCATTGTATGCACCGACTTTTCACTATTTCTAGCTATTTTTATTTACAGCAGTAGGTGACCAACTCATTGCCATCAATTAACAACATAATAATAGCCAGGATTTGACTGGAAAATAGGAGTTATTTTAGACTTATTTGTGGCCTCATTATCATTAAACAACAAAAGCTAATTATTTTAAAGACATATCATTTACAATGTTAAAAAGAAGTGTCATAAAGCTCACAGTCGAAACGCTGTCGGAACATTTTTTAAGTGCACGTTTTCCGGCACTTGGCCCTGCTTTTCACGGAATAAAGTGAGGCATCCAGATAGGACTGTTGGTTTCGCGAGACCTGCCTCACTCTTTTCCAGTTCTCCCTATAATCTCTTTTTCTCCTCCCCTGATAGGGGGAAACCTGTTCAGCGTGCCCTCCACGGTTGCCACGGCAACTGGTCCATCACACACAGCTAACCTTTTCGTTCAGTGCGCTGACAGGTTCCGTGGGAGCAGCTTCGGAGTTCTGCTTTCCTAGAGGGACCATCGTGGTGCAGTCGTTCTCGGTCATCTTGGCGTCCTTCTTTGAGTTGTTTTTGCGCCCCCTTTGGAGTTGACTGGATTTGTAGGCCATGGCTGGGATAGTGTTCACCAAGATCAGCTGCAGAGGCTTTTTGTTCTCCTTGTACTGGCACTGAATGTACCGCGAGAAGGCCGCGCGGTAGGTCTTGTTGAAGAGCGTGTACACCAGCGGGTTCACCGCCGAGGACAGGTACCCGATCCAGACGAACACATTGAGCAGGGCGGCGATGACCTCCTCGTTGCACGACTCCTTGCAGATGACGGCCATGATGTTGGTGATGAAGAAAGGGCACCACATGACCACAAACAGGAAGAAGACGATGCCCAGCACCTTGCAGGCCTTCTGCTCGTTGCTGATGGACTGCATGGTCCTGCGGCCGTGGGAGCCCGGCTCCCGCTGCGTGGACCGCTGGAAGAGCTTCTCCGAGGACAGCGAGCTCTGCGGCAAGAAGCTGAACGAAGGCAGCTTGGCCCGTGCGCCGGGGTCACTCAAGCACAGAGTGGCTTCTTTCTGCAGCGACCTGATCGTTAGAAAGTAGGTGATTACCATGATGGTTAAGGGGATGAAAAACGAGACGAAGGAGCCGATCAGGACAAAGTTATCGTCGGCGAGGAGGCAGCTCCCTTCTTTAAAGACCTTGGAATCATCCTGAAGCCCAAAGACGGGTATTGGCATGGAGATACCTGGGATTGGACAGAAGGTGAAACGTGACCATGAAGGAATCGAAAACGCGAAGGCAAGAGCAGCGCCACATAGCGGTGGCCGTGCGAAGGACTTTATATCAACATTGTCCTAAAGCCTGGCAAAGGAAATTTTAAATTTCCCTTGAAGTTACTTACAGATATTAGTTATCTTATAGTTATGCTGCATTATATCATATATACTATCGTACATAGTTATCACATTGTATTCTAACATATATTAATTATAATATATATTAACTATATATAAATTATTCTTTATACTTGTGTGTTAAATTGCCCTATATATAAGCCTTTACTTAGAAAGGAGTACAATAAATCTAGCTTTAATTTTTCAGGCTATATTTTTCTGATAATAACATTATACTTATTTAATGGAAGGAAATACACAGAAAAACAAAATTAAAAATGAACAAGAAAGCCACCGCCCAGAGAGAATCACCATTTAACAATATGATACCGCGTATCTTATTTTCATGCCATAAGTTTATTTATGTCTAGTATGTTGAGTTCAACAGTCTGATCCATTTTTTAAAGAGATTGCATTTCTTAAAACTCTCCTTTTCCTGTCTGTTCTACAGATCAGCTAAAATGTTCTTATTTCTTAAGTAGTTAGTGTCTCCTGATAAAGAAAGGCGTGGCAAATTCAGATCTAAAGCACACAGTGATCAGACCAGTAACTGCCACTTGTTTTCCATTGAAAACCTCCCATTCTTCCCCGGCCCTCCTAGCAGTGACTCCTCCAACCACAGGGGGCATGGCCAGCCCGGTGCTCCACCCCCGCGGGCAGCCCCCCCCCCCCCCACCATAAGCCAGGGCTTGGAAGTCTAGGGAACAGCCTTGCCACACACGATGCTGACCACATGAGAGAGACATGCATGTACGCATCGTGCACACACTTTATAACATTACAAACGTATTTTCTTTTTAGAAAGTTTGAAAAAAATACAAAAAGGTAACAATGAGTTAAGAAAAATATGCACTCTCGCGGGCCAGAGAGCCACATCTTGAGTCGTTTCTTCTGTTTGCAGGCACGTGGACCTCTGTGCACGTGCGCAGTGTCTCACGGACAGTTCCCGATGCGCCTACTCCATTTAACCCGAATTACGAAAACTGCCCACGTTAAAAGTATTTTTGAAAAATATGATGTTCTAATGGGAAGTTAAAGCACTAACTTTAACCAGTTTTGATTCTTTTTAGAAAAGGTTTTTATTATCGAAAAATTCTAATACATAACAAAATGACACTTAACAGGATGAGCTTCTTACCCAGCTTTGGCAAGGATCAAATCACGGAGAGGTCAGTTTTACCCACACCCCTGCCTGCTGCGCCCCCTCCCTTATTCTGAAACCAGCCCCAGATGTCCTATAGTTCAATCTCCTCTCTCTCTAGAGAGAGGATAGATATATATATTCTCCATACCATTCTTACTCCTTAATAGAAAGTTAATATTTCCTTAATATAATTAAGTATAGAGTCAGTCTTCAAATCCCCGATCGCCCCATCAAGGTCACTACGTACCTTTAGCAGTGAACACTCACTAGGGCGTATTACAGAATGAGAAGCAGCCACAGACTTTTCTGTTATAGGCAAACACGAGTCAGGAACTGGATGAGACAGTACTGGGGCACGTGGAGCCCATGGTCAGGGGCATATGAGCCCATGGTCAGGGGCTCTGTCACTCAGAGGTGGGGAAGCTGTCACACTCGCCCAGGCACAGGCCCTGGACAGAGGAGGGAGCAACATCAGGTGAGGCAACCCTCTTCCTCCATTCCTGCTAACTTCCCCCTCGGATGTGGGACCTGGGTAAAGAGGGTTCGGCCCACCCCTGCTGTTGTGCAGTTTGTAGAGAGTGGCACAGCTTTCCTCTGCTGGCTTGGGAAAGGCCAGAGCAATCACGGGACTGCCACCAAGGAAGCATGTAGGGGATGGGGAGGAAGAGGAAACTCAAGTCACATATCCGTGTCACTTGGTTTGAGGTTGCTTCTCTCGTGAAAAGGTAGACACGCAGGTGCACCCGGGGAGAAAGGTGGGACAAAGTTTCCTTCTGACACCTGCCTCGGTTTTCAGCCCCCTCGGGGCTCTGAACAGGGAGGGCTGCTGCTCTGACCACCCACTGGGGCACAGGGGCAAACACAAGGCCACCGGGCAGAATCCGGCCTCCGTCTTGTTTTATCCGGCCCGGCACCTTGTTTCTACCCGGCGGCAGCACCAAGCTCCTTGCCCCTAGTTAAGGAGCAGTTCCATTTATACAGTCCTAAAGTCACATCCGGCCCTTTGAAGGCAACCACCAGGCTGATGTGACCCCCGGGGGAAAATGAGTTTGACACCTCTGCTTTAGGGTCTAACACGAGGTTCTGGCAACATCGGGGGCTAATGTTTGCTTGACTCTGGAGATCCACCCTCCCAGGACCTGTCATCTAACTTGCGCAGGCTCAGAGCAGAGCTCGGCCCGCCAAGCCTGGCCCATGACCCGCCGGGGCCTGGCCTCCGTCCCCTCACACTGCCCATCCTCCCCAGGAGAGGGTGTCCGCTGGACTTTAAGGGAGGCTCGACTCAGCCCTTTCTCAGTGCCATTTCCCCAGGGTCTTCGCAGACTTGACTGACAGTGTCTGTCACTGGTCCGTGCAAGGCTGTCCCAGGATTCTAGGAAGGAGGAGATACGTGACGTCAGAGCTGCTCCTAAGGGCACTTAGTGTGGTTGCCGGCTCTTCGTTCCCTGCCTGCCTCTCTGTCCCTGGCCTGTGGTGGGGAACAGTTTGGGGGCCAAGGAGCGATGGAGGAACTATGGCCCCCCAAGGAACACCCTCTGAGACTCTACGCACCCTGGTTCTGTCCACCTTCAGAAGACTCGTTTTATTTTTCAGTTTCAGTTGACGTTCAATACTCTTTTGTATTTCTGTCAGGTGTACATTATAGAGAATAGACAATCAAATACTTTACAAAGCATTTCCCCAGTAAGTGCAGCACCCACCGGGCACCGCACAGTTACTACAATGCTACCAACTGCGTTCCCTGTGATTTACATCTCGTGACTGCCCTGTACCTACCAGTTTGCACTTGACCCCTTGGCCCTTCTCACCCGGTCCCCATCCCTGTCCCCCAGGGCAACCTCCACTCTCTTCTCTGTGGCTACGAGTCTGTTTCAGTTTTGTTTGTTCATTTATATTGTTCTTTAGATTCCACATATAAGTGAAATAATGCAGTATTTGTTTTTTCTCTGACTGAGTTATTTCACTGAGCATAATACCCTCTAGGTCCATCCATGCTGTTGCAAATGATAAAATTTTGTTCTTTTTTGTGGCTGAATAATATTCCATTGTATAAATAGACCCCAGCTTTTTTCTCCACTTGCCTGTGGATGAGTACCTGGGCTGCTTCCCCATCTTGGCTACTGTGAGCATGGGGGTGGAGGGGGCCTTCGGGGAACTTTTGACCCTAAACTTAAGACATGGTCTCTAAGGAGTATGTTTTGTTTTCTGAGTGTTTGAAACTACATCTGTTAGGGGTGTCTCCTGTTTCACCACGTTGCTGCTCACTGATTGGAATGGACGCTTTGGAGGGATGCGGGCCTGGGTCTGAGACTCTGCCCTGGTCCTTTGCTCCCGGGCCCATAACGTCATCCCTAGAGGCCTCAGTGCCTCGTCTCTCGTGTGAGGATGGCCCACGCATGTCTCCCTAGATGGGGTGAGGCTAAAATGAACCAGATATGCAGAGACCCCAGACAGTCCAAAGCGGGTGTTCTCCCAACCACAGTAGCTTTCTCTGCAGAAGTGTTCGGGTTGAGCACATAAACTTCATTGTTTTCCCAATTTTGTTCTATTTCCCTTGTTTTATAGATGCTAGACTTTAATATGTAATGGATCTTCTTAACACCAAAGAGGCTAAAAAGCATTCTGGCTGCTGGCTACATAATTAATAATGACGTAATTAGGAGCTTCTGCCAAGGGGACACAAGGACTCAGTTAATTCTGATTTTGTATGGCTTGAACTGTTGATCGCTTTTCCCATGTGATAGTTAACAGCCATTACTAGTAATCGTGATACACAGAAACAAAACATCAGCTGTCCAAGAACAGGTACATCATTTTGCTACTGACCTTGGCCGTGTGCACATTCCTGATTAACGCAAAGGGAATCGCCGCCTTGCGAGCTTTTCATCATCTTTGCTCACAAGCCAGCGATTCATGTAAGTGGCAATTTTCTATTAACCAGAATGTGGGATGGCCTAAAACAGCAAAATCTTCAGCTATCCGCAGCTCAGATGAGCGTGGAAGGGAAGGATGCAGGCACACTGGCACACACACCCTTCCAGAACGGCCCCCTGTGGTCAGGGAGGGAAGGGCTGATGCAGCACTGCCATTGAGGTCGAGGTTTCGCCTCTTGGTTGCTTGGGGTTGAAGAGCCACTTTGAAGCGGATGTAAAGAGGGCACCGGCAGGCTGTCCAGAAGGGCCTCCTTTATTTGGGGGGGGGATCCACACTTAGGCCTTTAAATGGCCCATGCCTCTTTGCCTGTAACGAAACTCCCCTAAGTACTCTCATATACCGTTCTTCCCCAGTGCTTCCTCCATAGGAGCGTCAGCCGGGGTTTGTGGAAAGAACAACTAGGCAGTTAAAGCCACACTCCATAAAAGAGGGCACAGCACTTCACGTCGAAGAACCAGAACACTGAGGTGGGCTCGGTGGGCGTGATGAGCAGTTTGAAAACCCACTCGTGAGGAGAGGCGGGGGCTTAGGCCCCAGGTCGTGGGCCCGGCCGGCGGCAGGGCACCCATTTCTGGCTGTCTGGTCTGACACGAGCTGCTTTGGGAGGCCTGGCATGCCCTCTGACTTGGAGTTTCTGCACAGAAAGCATTTTTCTTTATGAGCAAACAGAAAGGAGCTTGAACTGCGTGACTCTGCATTTTGTTCGATACATTCTCTTCTGGGGAGTGGAAGACAGCAACCAAATGCATTAGCTGTATCGGACCCTCGTGCGTA